TCTTTTTAAACGGGCCGACATACTGTTTTTTCAAGTCTTCGTTTTTGGTACATAAACAACTAACCATTGATTAGGTAGTGCTCCCGATCTAAGCCTGTAGATGTCTGGACAGGTGGGGGTCATGTCTACGATTAAGTAACCATGAGGTTCCTTGGTGGCGTCTTCAAAACTTTGTAGGAAAAATGATTTATTACCAGGGTGTATTTGTTGAGCAAGTATGTTCATTTGTAATCTGTCTCTGGGGTTTTTAAACAAGACCATGTAAGTAGTATTTAAACTAATTGTGCGACTGTTTTTTCCCTGGTGAAAAACATTTTGGGTAAGCATGATAACGCTCATGTTTCTATGATGACGGTATTGGGTGAAAAGTCTGACTACTTCCGGATGCTCAGAGGCCTGAAATATAACATCGTCTAATATAATCAAATGACTTTGATCAGGAGGAAATAGCGATTCATCTTCAAATGATTCAGGCAGACCCTTGACGAACTTCATATTTTTATTCTTTTCCTGCAGTTCAGCATACATGGGTTGGAAAGAAGTATAAATCCACACAATATTTTGAGGCTGGACATCCATTACATGAATACAATTTTGCAATACATTCTTGACAAAAAAAGTTTTTCCACACCCACTAGGGCCCACTACTAGACAGGAAAAAGGAACACGCAGTCGGGGGTCAAAATCAGTTTGACTTGGTGAAAACATGTTGTCTCTTTTTTCAATTATTTTCTCAATACCCAAAAGGCAAAGTATTTCCCCCGGCTAACAAACGTCTCTTGTCAAACACAACTCGGAACTTTTTGGTGAATGACACATTTCTCAAAGCGAAACCCTCTTTATTCCTTACAATGCTGTGTTGCGGGACCTCAATTACCCTCCCCCTCTCAGAGTTTTGAACGTAGCCCTCCACCAGGTCGGCCAGACTGTCAAAGTTCACTCGTTCGCAACATTCGTGCGTTTGTGTGATACCTTTCACACGCATCACAACTTTTTTTTGATTTTTGGTCTGATAAGCATAACTTTTAGGGCCTGCTGAAACAAACTCTTTAATCGTATCGCCCCCCAGCTCGTCTGTCAGGTCTCCCAGATAGACCCCCATCGGTAGGGGACTCTCTCCTTGTCTTGTCACATAGATTATGCTATCTGTGTCGTAGTAGAATACTCTGTGCTGTAATTTCTCCAATTCACTGTACAGTTTCAGCCTGGCATATGCTGTGGTAAAGGCGGCGATGAATATGTTATCCACCTTGTTGGGAGTAGAGTAACCATTTTCACCGTAGCACCACTGAACAAGAGCCGTTCTGTCGTTGAGGAATGAGAAATACTTAACCTTATGTTTAGCTGAAAACAAGAGGTTAAGAAATTCTTCGGTTTTGGTCACAATCTTAGTCTGAGTCAGATTGCTTCTCTGGGCAAATTTACCCCAGAAACTGTTGAGACATAGTTTTGCCACTTGTCTTTTGGCGGGGTTTGATTTGATTTGATCTGCATCCAGCAAGATGCCCTGCTTAGCATGATAGTCTGCCACATACTTTTGTCTGCTCTCATCATCTGAGGCCTCTGAAGGGTAGCCTGATGCTTCTTGTTTACCCTTCAAAAATGTGTGTATATAGTCTACAAAAATGCTGTCACTTTTCTTCTCAAAATGCCACACCTCTGTGATCTGAGTCATCTTGTACCCCATGTCCAGGGCTTTGGTGAATTCTGGGGTCACCCAAACCCCTGTTAATGCTCTTTCCTCTTTGCTATGCATGCAGGGCCCCTGTTGGTTGTTAAGCTCAGCGCATGTGCGGCATAGAGTGAACACCAGTTTACCAGCTGCAGTTCGGTAGGGCAGGACAGGAAAGTATAGACCCCTAGGAGGTTCTACTGTGGCTTTGATTAACCCGAAATAACTGCGAGGGTCTTTGAAATCTCGGAATATGATCTGAGGGTGTCCAAGTGGATATAGGCCTGTGCAGTTTACAAAAGGGTAGAGTGAGGTGAAATCACAATAATGAACCAATTCATTTGCCGCTGCTGTGTGCCTCAACTTTACTGCACATGTCCTTCCCCCGTATAAAGCATCGCAGGGGGTCAGTGGTTCTGGTGCATTGTATACCCTGAGGAAAGCCTTCAAATCTTGATTGGATTTTTTCATCTCAACCCATGTATGCTCACGCATAACGTTCACTTTGGCCCCGTGAACAGACTCTAGCTCATGCAGTTTTGCCTCACTAGCAGCATGGAGATGCTCAAATGTGTCACCTATCAATGGATTTTTCTCATGCCCCTTATAGCAAGAGGGGCATCCGTGATAGAAACAACCAAGAAATTCCCAGACAATCTTTTCCCCGGTAACTTCGGCAAACCCGTCTACGACGAAACGTCCCACTCGTTTCTCTCCATCATTCAACGCATGTTGAATAAAAACACCTTCAGTCTGAGCTACCCACTCCAGCCACTGAATACCTGCGTCTGAGTACGTCTTGTTTTCACGGCGGTAGTCGTCGGGTGGGGATATTGCCAAGGTTTTGGGCGATAGAAAGTTTGTGGTAAAAACTTTCATACAGGCAGAAGCTATAGTCGAGCGACTAAAAGGATCAACTCCTGTCTCCCCGAGAAAACCTTTCCGAAATAATGTGGCCCCCTGGGCAAGAATGTCCACATCGTTTTTGCAGTAAAGCAATGCCTGCTCTCGGAAGTCAAAAGTACCCTGGCGTACCGCCTCATACCACGTGAAAAAGTCACTCTTTTCACCAGTTGTCATGCGTTCAACCCCATAACAGTGTGCGGGTGGGTAAGGGCCTATATAACTCAGGTTAGCCTTGGAGCTGAAACCGTGAGGGAAGTATCCCTTAATTTTATCTCCAAATCCCAAAGCTTTTGGCATGTCTGCTAAACGCATAGACAGATAAGACAGTGAGTCTATGTACTTGTGCCCGAAATCCTCGTCAGTAAAAGAGACCACTTTACTTCCCTGCATTATTAACGGGGGCTTTAGCCCCTGTGCAACCATTGCGTTGATAATGAAATAGCTGTCAAAACCCTTAGCATTGTGAGCGATGAATGTTGCATTCTTGAACTTTGGGCGCCTAAAGTGTGCCAGAAACTGCAGTGCACAGTTGATTCCCTCGCCGACCCAAATTTCACCCCCCAAGGTTTTTGTACAAACCAAGAAAGGTATATGTACCCCATCTGCCCCCGCCATTGTTTCAAAATCATAAAACACAATGTTGTCATTGTGTTCTGTCTCTTTAGGCAGCACTCCTATGTAACACAAATGTTTTTCACACCCGAGCGTAGAAGCAGATGGTAATTTTTCCTTGCATGTCTTACATTTTTTCGTCGCACACTTGTGTGTTTTATCTGCTGTACTCTTGGGGGTGTAGTAAGAAAGTTGGCAATCTACACACTTTTTGTGTAAATCACAGTTACTGGCAATGTCTGTTGATCTCTGTTTCTGCTCTTTATGTCGAGAGTGACAGCCGACTGTACGGCATGTTTTGTTGCAGTCTTTACAAAAGATGGGTTTAAACTCTCCCTGAGTACATGAGGGGTCAAGGCATACATAACAATGACCAGTACAGGAATGATTCCATTGAGAGCTGTAGCCTGTGTAACAATGTTCACAGACATACAAAGAGCCTAAAAACCCCTTCAAGTTCTTGATACCATAGTAGTGGTTGTGAAGGAGGAACAAAAACACAGTTTTGTCTCGTTTGGGGGCGTCTGTCTGGAATTTACAGAGGGTACGATCATCATTGCTTCGGTAAAATACCACTATCTTGCATTTTAAACTCTCTTCGAATTTATCAATGTCGCTGAATGTCACAGCTGTATGAGCTGTCAAACCCGCCCTCTTCTGAATCTCTTTACCACGTTCAACACCGTTGAGGTTGTCGTGTAACAACAGTGCTAAATTAATAGCAAAACACAGCTGGTTGGAGGAGTTCTGAACAACGTAAAAAAAACGCCCCTTCTTTTTAACAATCTCATTGTCGAACATTTTACTAATCATCCGTTTACCCTGAACCCCTCCACGGGGGGACTGAACAATTTGAACCACTAGCTCCATGTTGCTTTCTGCCATTAAAATCATATTCGATTGCATGGCGTTGAACAGCCCCTCCTCAAAATCATCCAGATTGTCATCGAGACCATTTAAAATGGTTGACACGTTACCCCTTAGTTGTTCACCTTGTAATTCAATCTGCACGATATCTTCTCTCTCTGCCCGTGCAAAAGCATATGCAAGCATGCTATGCACATTGTTCATCAGACCCTCAAAATAGACTCCAAAGTCTGCTTCAGCCCTAATAGGAGGTAGGATTAGAGACTGTCTCATTTATGTATTATTGAATACAGGTCGAGAGAAAACACTTGGCTCGGCATCTCTGCTAGTGCCTCCTCCATGCTGTGACAGGGGGCCCTGTGATTCAGAAGCATTCGGGGTGTCATTCTGATCAACATGTCCATTACTTTGCATGGAGCAAACGGGTGATTCTGAGTCATTCGAGCTGTCATTAACACACCCGCCATCTTGCATGCTGGAAACGGGTAGGCCGGCGTTGGCCGAAGCTTCGCTATTTTGTCCATTCAGACGGAGGATATTGTCTAGAGGCTGATCTAAAAGCCCCCGGTCCTCGTAGCAGTCTATCACCCAATCCAAGGCACCGTCTAATGTTTTTGTTGGACTGCTTGAATTTGTTTCTGACAAGGCCGTGGGCTCGTTTACAGCTGAGCCCTCGCCATTTAACTCACTGTTGTTGCCTGAACACTGCGGAAATGACAGGTCCCTATATCTGAATTCATCATCATCACTGTATAGTTCATTTACATCAGGAAACACATCAAGAAAAGACCTTTCTCCATCTGTATAGGGGTTTGTTTCTGTCAAGGGCATAGGCTCGCTTACATCTGTTATTGCGTCATTTAGCTCACTGTTACTGTCTGAACACTGTGGAAATGGCATGGCTTCGTACACAAAGCCCTCATCATTGTATAGTTCAATTGTATCAGGTAAACCCGCGATAAAAGACCTTTCACTATCTTTTAAATCATCCATGCTTGACCGTTTTTAGGAAATCACCCCCGCAAAAACAAAAAACAAAATCAGAAATATATGTGGCACCGCTGAAGAAACATTTCACTTCGCTTCTACATTTATGGACGTAAAGTCAACATACCTGGCGGATACATCAATAACAGTTTTACATGTGATCTCCAGCTTATTCAGGGGGTGTGGCCTTAAAGCAGACCTTAACAAACAGCGTTTGTCCTTTGATAACGGGGAGGATTGTTCTATAGAGAAAAAGACAGAGAAATAAAAGAAGAGGGTATAAGTATGTTTTTTGAAATACCCAGGATTATACATTTAACAAGAAAACAAAATCATTTAGCTATCATCTTGTAAAAGCAAACATAAAAAGCATTTTTTTTTTTTTTACCTGGTGGGTTTTAATTCTCAAGCACAGTCTGTGTTGAGATGTAAAGCCTGACTTGATGAAGAGATCTGAGCTGAGACCATTCAAGCTGCAGGATGGGTGCAACCACCTTTTTTAAAAACAAGAGAGTACGTATATTAAAACGTTATTCTGGATACTTTCACATGAAAACATATTTGATTTTAAGAAATATAGCTAAATACACTTATAGTTAAAAATGTACACCACATTATTTGTACTTAGAAGGATACTTCATTAAAGCTTCTAAATAATTACGATCTAGGGCTGTTACAGAATAGAAAAACAACAGATGCATAGAGGTTCTTTAACACACATCAAGCAGCATTAACTAACTACATGATATTATAACATAAAAATAAAGTACTTACCAGATATTTTCAAAAGATCTGGGCCTGATGGGGAAAAGCGAAGAGAGGCTGTCTAGATGCCTCTGACCTTACTTATAGGCAACGCAATATGTAAATGACTCTAAAACAGCCAATAGGGTTATTCCTGATTGTTTAACAAATTAGCATTATATTGTATTTGGTTTTTATGGCAGAGCAAATACTTTTTTAGGTTTAGGCTATTCTCCTATATATATATATATATATATATATATATATGTATATATCACACACACACATATACACACATATATATATATATATTAAAATATATGCATACACATTACAAAAAAACATGTAGATAGTAGATGTATACATGAAAAATAATGTAACTGCTTTCTCTTTTTTGCTCTGATCATCTGCCTTGAATCCGCATACTCTGTAATTTTACAGCCTCAGACCGTCTCCTCTCACACACACACACACACACACACACACACACACACACTACCTAGGCGACAAATGGTCAGACAGCTCCAGGGGCTTTTATGGTTTCTCCCACACATGTCCTGACTTGTCTCAGGCAAGTCCAGACTGTTCGCAACTAAGAGGTGAGAGAGAGAGAGGTTGACAGAGGCTGACATTACTTTTTTTAAATATATGTTTTTTAGATGCTTTACTTTGATTTATTTCATGTTATTTGCAAGTATTTGTAAGTTACAGTCAATACTGTATACAGGATTAGGGGGCACAGGAAGTGGTTAGGAGGCGGGACATAGATCCTATGCATACTAATGTGATTGAAGCAGTATTTTATTTTTCTCATTTTTAAATTTTTTATTTTTTTTATTTTGTGAACCGGAAGTGGGGTGGGACTTCCGCCGGAAGTGGGCGGGGCTTAGATGTGTGACCTGTCACTTTTCTATGCATACTAATGAGACGAAAGTGGCATCCTTATAACTACTCCCCAGAATCAACCAAAAAATTGAACATCAACACCCATGACAGCCAAAGTCAGTGTGGGACATTTCTCAAATGCTGTTTCACTGTCATATTTCAAATATGTACCCTCTTTACCCATAGACATGTCTTCTACATTTTCCAATTTTCAATAGCATGATGTGTGTGTGTGTGTGTGTGTGTGTCACTTCCCTGGTTAGATGCTGCTGGCTGAATTTCCGTCTCGCTCGATCGGGTCCCTTCCTCCCCATCTGGTGTATGTCAGTCTGATTGTGAATGGCCCCGTCCTTGCTGTCCCTCTCTGCCTCCACTGCCAGTGTTCTGTGAGCAGTCCCATAATCCAATGTTCAACACTGCCACACTTGAAACATCTTTCTCAAATTAAGGTCTTGCTTCTCGTCTTCTGCCTCGGAAAACCTCTTCTGCCTCTCCCTCGGTATTGTGACCGGCCAGCATTCTGCGTAGCTTGCGCTGTGTCTGTGAGTCCGTTGAGAAAGGCATTACTGAGGTGTGTTGTCCAAACACCTGCTTGGACTTGGGTTTGTTTATTCCGCTGTTGTCCCCATCTACTTGGGGCTGATGGGGGAGGACGGGGAGTCTGTTGACTGCATGGCTGGGACTTGTAGTGGCGGTGGAGGTGGTTGAGGTGGGCCAGCCGGATTGCCAGGGTTGTACCCCGGGGGAGGGAAAGGATACCCAGTCGAGGAGAGGTCATTCAGGCCTGCAATGGAAGGATACAGAGATGTCTGGGGTTTACATGGTTTTGGAAATAATTTATTTTCCTTCTTTTCTTCACATTCATCTTCAACCTTAATATTTTCTTTAATGCCCAAGGCCAACTGCCTTCTTTCACGGCATTCTGCTTAATCCTCCCAGTATTTATTATAAACACTTTCTGTGAGTGTCCAGTTTTCTATATAAGTCTTTTACTTTAACTTTATTTTTATTTCTACTTCTTCTTGTAATTTATTCTTTAGGTTCTTGATTTTTTATTTACTCAAAAACCTCCCTTTGGAAATCCAAACATTTCCGTCCATATATTTAATTTAGACAGACTGTCCTCACCATATTTTACTCTCATGACATCCACAATCGGACCCTCAGGGGGGTGTACAAGCCCCCTACTCTGCTTTGCTCCCAAGACAAAGTCTCTAGATGTTACCAAACCACCCCTGACAAAACAAGGGGTGTTTAAACACCTTTCTTTTTTTTTTTCATCCGTCGATGATGTGATATTTGTTTCTCAGTACAAATCACGCAAAAATTAATCAATCAATCAATGTTTATTTATATAGCCCAATATCACAAATGTTACATTTGTCTCAGTGGACTTTACAGTTTGTACAAAATATCAGTATGACAATACGACACCCTCTGTCCTTAGACCCTCACATCGTACAAGGAAAAACTTCCGGAGAAAACCCACAGTTTAAAGGGAAAAATGGGAGAAACCTCAGGGAGAGCAACAGAGGAGGGATCCCTCTCCCAGGACGGACAGACGTGCAATAGATGCCGTGTGTAAATTGAAAATATAATACATTTGCAACATAGGTAGTCCAAATGTTTGGAAATGCATGTGTGTATAATAGGAAGATGAATCCACGAGGATATCCATCCAGGACCTATGATCCAGGACCACAGCCACGACTCAAGATCCAGGGCTCGCGATCCAGGACAGAGGAGCGCAGGATCATCCATGACTCCGGATCCCGGCGTATATAGACACCAAAAAGAAAGACATTTGGGGAAGCTGGGTTAATCGGAACATGAGAGTACACAGGTATAGACAGAGAGAAGGAAGAAGTAAGATGTCCCCCGACAAACTAAGCCTATATCAGCAAAACTAGGGGCTGGATCTAATCAGCCCTAACTATAAGCTTTATCAAAAAGGAAGGTCTTAAGCGCACTCTTAAAAATGGATAGGGTGTCTGCCGCCCGAACACAAACTGGAAGCTGATTCCACAAATGTGGAGCTTGATAAGAAAAGGCTCTGGCTCCCATTGTACTTTTAGAGACTCTAGGAACAACCAACAACCCTGCATTCTTGGAACGCAATGCCCTAGTAGGACAGTAGGGTATAATGAGTTCTTTAAGGTAAGATGGCGCCTGCCCATTAAGGGCTTTGTAGGCGAGAAGAAGAATTTTAAATTCTATTCTGTGTTCTATAGGGAGCCAGTGTAAGGCAGCCAGAACAGGAGTAATGTGGTCCCTTTTCCTAACTCTGGTTAGTACACGAGCCGCAGCATTTTGAATCAGCTGAAGCGACTTGACTGACTTCTTGGTACACCCTGATAATAAAGAGTTACAATAATCCAGCCTTGAAGTAACAAATGCATGGACTAGTTTCTCTGCATCGTTTTGAGGCAAGATATGCCTGATTTTTGCAATGTTACGTAGATGGAAGTAGGCGGTCCTTGAAATTGATTTTATGTGGGCGTTAAAGGATAAATCCTGATCAAATATAACACCAAGATTCCTTACAGTCTCACTGGAGGCCAAATTAATGCCATCCATAGTTAGTATATCCTTAGATAATTTGTTTCGTAGATTCTTCGGGCCAAGTACAATAACTTCAGTTTTGGTCGTGTTTAACATCAAAAAGTTTAAGGCCATCCACGTTTTTAAGTCCTTAAGGCAGTTTTGAATTGTATTTAGATGATTAATTTCATCAGGCTTGATTGATAAATATAGTTGAGTATCATCCGCATAACAATGAAAGTTTACAGAATGATTCCTTATAATATTGCCTAACGGAAGCATATATAATGTGAACAAAATAGGTCCGAGCACTGAGCCCTGTGGCACTCCATGGCTAACTTTGGTTTGCGTGGAAGATTCATCATTGACACGTACAAACTGAGAGCGTTCAGATAGATAGGACCTAAACCAGTCTAAAGCAGTTCCCTGTATGCCAACTAAGTGCTCTAGTCTTTGCAATAAGATATCATGGTCGATAGTATCAAATGCAGCACTGAGATCGAGCAAAACAAGAATAGAGACACGTCCCTTGTCAGAGGCTATTAGAATGTCATTTGTGACTTTAACCAGAGCGGTCTCTGTGCTATGATGTGTTCTAAAGCCAGACTGAAAAGCTTCAAATAAATCATTGTTTTTTAAGTAATCACACAACTGTTTTGCGACCGCTTTCTCAAGAATTTTTGAGAGGAACGGAAGATTAGAAATAGGTCTATAGTTGGCTAAAACCTCTGGATCGAGGTTGTGCTTTTTAAGAAGCGGTTTTATCACTGCTACTTTGAATGATTGTGGAACATAGCCTGATAATAAAGACATATTCATAATATTTAATAAATAAGTGCTAATTAATGGAAAAACTTCCTTCAACAGCTTAGTTGGAATTGGGTCTAACATGCACGTTGATGGTTTAGAAGAGAGAATCATTGAATTTAATTGTTCAAGGTTTATGGCTGAAAAGCATTCTAGTTTACTATCTAGTGTAATATTAGAACTTACGTTTCCGGGAGCTGTTGATAACACTATACTGGTCAAAGGCAAGAGGTCATTAATTTAGTTTCTAAGAGTAACAATTTTATCGTTAAAAAAGCACATAAAATCATTACTACTGAGTGCTATGGGAATAGAAGGCTCAATCGAGCTGTGGCTTTCTGTCAGCCTGGCTACAGTGCTGAAAAGAAATCTTGCATTATTCTTATTCTCATCTATTAATGAAGAGTAGTAAGCTGCTCTCGCTTTACGCAATGCTTTCTTATATTCATTGAGAGTAATATGCCAAATTAAACGAGATTCTTCAAGTTTAGTAGAACGCCATATCCTTTCAAGTTGTCTCGACTTTTGCTTTATTTTGCGGGTTTCGGCATTATGCCATGGAGCTAGTCTATGTTGTTTTATTTTCTTCTTTTTCAAAGGAGCAACAGAGTCTAATTTTATTCGCAGCGCATCTGTAGCACTATCAACAACATGATCAATTTGGGGTGGTGTACATTTTGTATAAGTTTCCTCCCCTACATGCAGACATGCTATCGAGTTAAGTATTGGTGGAATCTCTTCCTTAAATTTGGCTATAGCACTAACAGATAGGTTTCTGCTGCAGGAGCTTTTGACTAATGCTTTGTAGTCTCGTAACAGTACTTCAAAAGTTACTAAGAAATGGTCGGATAAAGCAGGATTATGCGGTTCGACTAATAGTTGCTCAATTTCAATACCATAAGTCAGAACAAGGTCGAGAGTGTGATTATAGCAGTGGGTTGGTTTATTTACACTCTGACAAAAACCAACAGAATCTAATATAGAGTCCAACAGACTGAGAGGCTCAGGTGAGCTAAAGGACTCTCTGAGTGTTTAGATAGTTAACTTTAGTCTAAGTTATCTCAGTGGGTCTCAAACGGTTTGGTCACAAATTATTCAAAAGATTATTTCCGCGGCACACTTTCATATGATCATTATCGTTATAAAAAAAAAAGAAGAGAATAAAGGAAAAACAGTTATGAAATACTATATGGCAGTAAAACAAGAATACAGTTTGTGATTGTAAAATATCCATAAAGAAAAAGAACATCTGCTTACAGTTGTGTTTCATCTGGGTGTTGAGAGATGTATCCATTAATGTTGCTCTCAAAGTGCACCAGATTGATGCTTTTAACTTCAATATTTTAAAAAAATCTTCTTGACTCACGGCACACTGGTGTGCCGTGGGATTTTGTGACAACCATACGTTATTATTGCAATATACAACTACACAAAAATAATAATTTTTTAATTTACTATATCAGTACTTTGTAGGTTTATATGTACGTAATCTGCGCGACTTGCACGTCCACATCTCCACGTGCAGTGCTGCATAAACATGGCTGAGTCAGCGATAACTTTCGAGGGGTGGAAGGTATGCCCATTATTTTGAGTTCGTCCGAAGAATAGACAGGAATGTGACAGTGAGGTGCAAACTGTGTCCAGGCCAGAAGCTGTTATCCACTGCTGTAAACACCACGTCAAACCTCAACAAGCACCTGCAAAGAACACATGCTAAGGTGAAGCTACCGCACACGCTATTTGTTGTCTGTTCTTCTTCTCTGTCTTCCGGTTGTTGCCTGTTTTGAATGACAAATACACACTACCGCCGCCTGCTGGTAAGGAAAGTTATTGCCACTCACGCATGCGCAGTTCGTACGTGCTCGGCGAGTAAAGTAACGAGTTACTTTATGTAGATAGTAACGAAGTAGTGTAATATATTACTTTTTTTTTAAAAAAGTAATATGTAATATATTTTAAAAAATTAGTAACGACCCCATCTCTGGAGTTAGCGTTCTCTACTCTGATTTACATGAAGAACAACAGGAGGTCACGGCTCTCTGTTGAGCAGGACTTGCGAGTGGCCCTCTCCTCAGTGCCACCAAGGATTACAAAATTCTGTGCGCCCAACAGGCACATGTATCTCACTAATTTGTAAGTCGGCAAAAATATTTACAATAGCACATGTTTCAATGCTGATTGCTGAAATGTTACATTTATAATTTGTAGTTCAGGACCATGGACAATGCAGCTTCCTTGCATTGACAGTTCTCTGTGCTGAATTTCTGCTGAGTTTCAATTGCCTCATTTTTAATGTTGTGACTTGTCTGGTTTAAATGAGTGTGTTGCTGCTTTGATGAAGCCTAATTTGATAAAGTTTCAAATTAATTTCTGAAATATTTAGTTAATAAATATTTCATGAGTAATATAGTTTTCTTTGTCACATTTGATTTGGCATTAGTAAATAATTAAGCACATTTACAGATATTTTACATGATATGAGTGATAACACGTGTTATAAGGGCTATTTTGCACAACAGGTGTGCCTTGAGATTTTTACTTGTCCTTTGGTGTGCCTAGGGCACAACAAGTTTGGGAACCACTGCTCTATAGTGCCCGTAATAGTGTTCACTGGAGTCCAGCACCTCAGCACCCCCACTCAAAATACCTTCCTTAAAGGAGGAACACCTTCCTCTGACGCAGAAGGACTGTTCCAATCTCCAGCATACTCGGAATTCCACCGAGGCCGCGTCCTTGGTTTGAGGGAAATTTCGAGGCTGCACATGTAGACTTCGCGTCCTTCAAATCCCCACAATGCTTTGCGCACGGACCAATTTCCCCAAATCTGTGGCGGAAAATGTAAGGTGGGGCCTCTCATATGACGCACACCTGCACACTTGCTAGCCTGTTCCACTCTTCGTTTTCCGAATGCCAGGAAGGATTCTTGACTAGCTTCTGAAGGAAGTGACTCGGAAGACATGTGCTACCAATCAAGCATCCTCGCGATTGAGAAACGGCCAGTGTATTTCTCCAAATGTTTTCACCGCCATGTCTTTGAATAATTGTGACAGTAAGCGGTCAAACCTACTACGACTCTATCTTCATTGGCTGCGGTTTAACTCAGTGTTTACATCGGAGTTTCAACACACTGCATGAGAACACTACAAACAGTGTTTGTGAGCTTTCTAAAGTGTAGCTATGCTAACCTAGCATGTGGGTGTTTTCTTCTACTGAAGGTATTGTCGTAGAAAGCCGGTGAAGCCATTTCCTGCTGTCATTATATTCTGTTTGCATGTGGGTATTCTGTTTGTGTTTTGTAACTGTAAATTGTATTGTTTGTTTTGCAAGTGTAAATTAATGGTTATATTTTTATATATTAATTTACAAAGAAAAACCGAATTTGCCACCATGGATAAATGCATATCTGTTAAAGGAACATGTTAATTTAATTATTTAGAACTTTGTGTATGCTTTCTCAGTTAGCTTCAGGCCTCACTGAGGAGAAGTATTGAGGTAGAAAGCTGGTGAAGCCATTTCCTGCTGTCATTATATTCTGTTTGCACAGATAATAAACCTGGTTGGCAAGAAGGAAGCCATATTCAGTCGACAACACAACGCAGAGATACATGTGGCGTCAACCCAGAGAATGATTAGATAAATAGAGAAAACGGATATAATTTGTAAGTGAATTTATTAATGTGTTTAATAAATTCTGGCTAGGACAACCACACAAACGGCAGCAACTTTCCCTCTGCTTCATTCTTTTCTCCTGTTCAACAGGCTTATTATCTGATTACCAGCTCTGCACAGCAGACTTGTAACACTAGCAGCAGTGGAGATGGAGCATCAGAACCTGGAGAATACAGCAACAACAACAAGGATCCATTTGAAGATAGGTAAATATTACAGTAATAGTGTACTTTCATTGTGTGGGTGTAACATAGTTAAATAGGTTGTAAGAGAGAGAGACTCCTGTCCCACCTCCCCATTTTATTTTTAGTTGTGCATTGTTATTTGTGCTTGAGAAACATTCCACTTGAACTTTATATTTTAATGAATTTAGTAGTAATTATTGTCCTATATTTCTTTCCGATTTCACAGCTGCCTGGGCCTAGCAGCAAGAACCTCCATCTGTGCCTGCACCCAGGTCAAGATCTACCGTGGCTCAAGGGCCTTCACCAGAGCCATCACCACCAAGGACCAGAGGACCAGCATCACTACAGCACCCTCCATCTGTGCCTGCCACAAGATTAAGATACACCTCGGTACAAAGGCCTCCACCACAGCCATCACGATCAACCCAGCCAGCAAAGAAGTCTCGCCTAGCACACCTCCCTCCCTCCGACACAGCCACCAGCAGCCCATGCACCATCACCCCCACCTACACAGCAGCCAGACCCACTGTCTTGGAAGACAGACAAAGACCATGGCACTGCTCCCCCTGTCTTTACATTTATAATGAATAGTTGGTTGAGAAAGTTCTGATATTGTCAGGGTTCGTACAGTCATTAAAAACCTGGAAAAGTCATGGAATGCAATATTTTTCCCAAAGTTTTGGAAAAGTCATGGAAATATAACTAAAGTTGCATCAAATATAATTTATATGTTATCTAATCGCCGAAATAGTAATACTATAATGATAATAAATACTGTATCGTATAATGAAACGTAAAATGGCAACTGTGGCAGTATTTCGCTGGTGAGAGATGTTTACAATCACGCCCTCTAGTCTACTATTTTATATAAAGCTGCCAAGATGCTAGGGAAGTGCAGTTTCAACAATGTATGGCTTCTAAAGAATAAGTACCAATTGTGGTTATCAAAAGACATTGACCCAAGATGTGCTAAATGCAAACTGTGTTGTAACATATTCAATATTTCGAATATGGGCGAGGCAGCGCATGCTAGCCACATGAAAGAGTCATTTAAAATCATTGGTGAAAAAGTGTATGAACCCTGTATTGTAAATATTGAGATTTTACAGTTTCTTATGTTAACATAAATAGTTGGTTGTAAAAAAAAAGTTGTAATGCTCAATTTGTATTTGTACACATCACATGAACCTCAGTATGGAATATTACATTACGTTACATTGCATTTAGCTGACGCTTTTATCCAAAGCGACTTACAATAAGTACCTTCGACCAACAAGATACAAACTAGAAGAAAACAGAATCATATAATAGGGCTGCACGGTTTGAAAAAAACTGACATCGCGATTCCCCCCCCCCCCTGCGGTATATATTGCGTTTTTTTTAACCTGTTAAACCCCAAAGTCCCGGCGGGTACTTTACTTTTTTTTTCACGACAGTGTCTCAGGGGATCGTAATATTTAAGAACCTATTGATGTGTTATACCAGATTAACGGAAATAATCTCAGCTAACTGACGATACAAACCATTTTTACCAAAACAAAACACAAGTCTCATAAGAATCATCTAAATGACCCCTGAGCGAAAAATGCTAACGGACATTGGCACAGAACTCAAGATAAAAGTACCCTTATTACTTATCGTAGCTACACATACAAGATATCCGATTAAAGGAGAGGTTCCACAGATTATTTAGGTATATAGTATTATCACTGAGTGATCTGAACTCGGACAGGGGAAGCAAACACAGACATCACAACACGTACCTTTACGTAGCTTCTAGGGGAGATGTCTCACCATAGCTGTCAATCAGATCAAAAGACGTGTTCAATGGCATTAAAACGAGAAAGAAAAAACGCGGCTGAATCGGTTAATCCATAGGTTTTTAACGTCTCTGTATAAACAAATTATTTAATATATAATCCATAATTCCATTTGTATGTAAATATCGCAGAGCAAAAGTTAGCTACTAATGGTAGCTACCAGAGTGGCTGCTGCTTCCGGTCTTGGCTATGCGGAAGTCTCACACACACACATTACCAAATAAGGACTCTGTGATTTCCCCTCGATTCCATTGGCTCTGACGGTCAGAAAGAGATGTCACATGTCAAAATCCAGAAAGGTGGGCCAGAGATATGGAAAATCCACCCAAATGGCCCCAAAAGAGGGTTTTTTTGGTGCTAAATCTGTCTAAAAAGGTCAAATATCCTTGTTTTGCATCAATCTTGATACAGAATGATTGTGATTGGTGGTTTGCTGTGAATGCAGGGACATACACTCTGGTGGCTACCATTAGCAGCTAACTTTTGTGCTCCAATTTTTACATAAAAATGGAATTATGGATTATAAACAATTGCTTCAAAGCCACAGATACATTATCAATCTATGGATCAACCGATTCAGCCGCGTTTTTTCTTTCTCGGTTTAATGCCATTGAACACGTATTTTGATCAGATTGACAGCTACGGTGAGACGATCTCCCGTAAAAGCTCCGTAAAAGGTACTTGTTGTGATGTCTGTGTTTGCTTCCCCTGTTGCGAGATCGGATCGCTTAGATACTATACTTAAATAATCTGTGGAGTCTCAGCTTTAATCGGATATATTGTATGTGCAGTTTCGATAAGTAATAAGGGTATCTTTATTTTGAATTCTGTGCTAAAGTGCGTTAGCATTTTTTTTTTAATTGAATTAAAACCGCACGTCCCTGCGGTGTGAATACCGCGCATGCGCATACCGCGGTTATCACCATGACACGGTATATCGTTCAGCCCTATCATATAAGTACATCAGGTTTCATAGAGCCAAAACATTTCATGTGCTACTCAACTGGCTTTAGATAAGCCAGTCCTTTATTAGTATATAAGTGCTTTGTTAGTAATTCTGTCGCTCGAAGTGGAGTCGAAAGAGATGAGTTTTCAGTCTCCCCCGGAAGGTGTGTAAGCTTTCTGCTGTCCTGATGTCAATGGGGAGCTCATTCCACCATTTTGGAGCCAGGATAGCAAACCCACGTGTTTTTGCTGATGGGAACTTGGGTCCCCCGCACAGTGCGGGTGCAGCGAGCTGTTTAGCTGATGCAGAGCGGAGTGCACGTGCTGGGGTGTACGGTTTAACCATGTCCTGGAATATGAAGTCATTACTCAGTCCTGATGTAACTTTTCTGTGGTGAAAGTAGAGTGATAGAACTATTTTACTCCAAATTATAATTAACACATTTTCATTTTAGACATGAATAACACATTTATATAGGCCTATAGGGTAATTCATATATTTCACTACTTTTGTGAACCAAAGACTTTGGTAAACCAAATCTGAAACACCAAAAAAAACAGTTTTTAAGTTTTCCAAAAATCGGATCTCTAAACTAAGTATTTCATAAGACAGTGCCCTACGGTGAGTGACTTTGCGTTTCTAGAAAGACCAGAGACTGAACATTTTGATAAGTAACACCATACGTTATAAGAAGTACATTTAAAAGGTGATTTAAGGAGACATCTAAAAATTGAGAAAATACCCTTCACTTCACACTCCAGAGGGTTTAGGAAAAGGGTAAGGCGATTTCATTTTTAAAAGACAATGAAAGCAGGTTATATTGATTGATATATTTATTATATTGAAAGGCAAATTAATACATAGTCCCATGAATCCGGAATAATGTACAATTCACAGCCTCACAATGTCAGGAACTTTTCATCTACAGATTGCTTTGGTCTGGCTTTACTCTTCACTGATTGGTTACTGAAACTTTGAACTTATACGGACCTCCCCGTTTATTCGCGCGAAAATACGCACGAATCATGGCGCAAATGGCTTTCCATATCAGGCACCCCTGGGATGTGTGACCACATTGATATAATAATTATTATTGTTTGGAGTTGGAATATGCCTTTGTTTTGTACATCTGTCTATTTTCATTTTGTTGGCGGGGTTGAGCAGTGCATTTGGTAGTGTGGCGGAACGTTTGTGTTCCGGGGACTGGTTAGAGGGACGGACTTCCGGGGTTTCCTCAGAAGTAATCTGGAAGGAAACTGAACACAACAGCCTCATCCCAATACCCCTCCTCGACTCCTCTCTTCCCCTCCTCCGGGACTTGACCCGGAAATCGATCAAGACACGCCATTTTGAAGGATGTCCCAATAGCTGAAATGCACACGGAGGAGTTGAGGAGGGGTGAGGGAGGAGGGGTGCGGGAGGAGACGAAAGGGAGGATACACGCGAGTAGACTACGCGGAAGTGTTTTCACTAAAAGCCCCGCCCCCACCTTCACAGCTGGTCGATTTCAACAGAGGAAAACCGACAACTGGAAGATGAGTGGAAAAAGCGTCACATAATAAAGTGCTCACAGCTCCGTGGGAATTATTATGTGCAATACATTTCTAAAAGGCTTTCACATTACTATAATTATATTTTTATTTAAATGTAGGCTACATTTTACACCAAAACGGAACACAAAAGCACGACCAACCTAGGGTGACCAGATGTCCCGCTTTGCGCGGGACTGCACAGCATTTTCACGACTTTTGGTGCGTCCCGCAAATTGAGACCATGTCCCGCATATTTCATTTTGATTGGCTAAAACGCTTTTCTTTAAAATCAGATTTATCCAATGGCTGTTGAGAAAGCAGGGAAGGCTATCATCACGGGGCTGTGTTTGCTGTCAATCAAACTGTAACACACGGCGGGTGCTGGTCAAGTGTTAACCAATGAGAGTAACTCACTCACACACACCCCCCCGCGGCCCCGCCAAACAACAACAACGAAAGTCAGTCAATAACGCAGGCGACGCAGCAGGTTATGGAAAATGGAGGAAACTGAAACTACAGCTAAGAATAAAAGAAGATGCACATACAACAAAGACTGGGAAGACACGTACCCGTGGGTGAAGCCAGTGCAGGGCGACTCTCAGAGAGTTTTTTGCAATCTTGGCAAGAATAATTTTTCAATTTCACATGGCGGTGAATACGACGTCAAAAGACATAGAGAATGCGATTCTCACAAGAAACGTGTCGCTCAAAAAGAGACATCCCACTCTATGGAGACATTCTTACTCAAACCAAAAAATGATGGCCACTCAGACAAGGTAACAGCAGCAGAAATAACCAGTGTTACCATAGTGACTGTGGTAACAAGCTAGCGCCGACCATTTTTCCAGACTCTGACATAGTAAAGAAAATGTCATGTGGTCGTACAAAAGCAGCGTCCATAATAACAGATGTGATTGCCCCTGCCTCTGTGGAGAGTTGTTTGACAGAGCACCTGCTGTTGCTGTGATGGACAAAACTGAAAGCTATTTTATTTTATGTATTATTATGTTTTTGTTCCCTCCTGGCCAGTTTTGATTTGTACTTATGGTTTTATTGTATCTATTAATTTATGTTGTGCCTACTTGTACAGGTAATACACTAGTTGAATTAGGAAGATGCATTTCTAAACACTTGAAGTGAATAAGGCCTGCTGCCTTGGTTAGCCTTAATTTACTTTTCTTTATTAAGATACTAAATTGTTACTGCATTTTAACCTCACTTTCTGTCATTGTTTATTGGATGCTGTTGAATAAACCAAATGAAACAGAATGGAAATAGAGATTTTTTTCCCGGGGGGGGGTTGGGTGCTGTTGAGAGGGTGTCTCAACAGTTACTGTTTAATCTTCACATCTTGTATTCATGTCTATAATTTTGAGCACCACATTATTGAAAAGTATCGATAAGAGTATCGAAAAATACCGATACCGGTATTGATAAAATCCTAATGATACCCATCCCTAGTAAACACTGAAAACGGGTCCCACAGACCCAAACAGCACACAAAGGTTAAAGGTAAGCATATAATAATGTTAAAATGTGCTAAATATATACACTGCAAAAAACAACAAAAGAGGAGTAAAAGTAGCTCACGACTTGTTTTGTATTTTGAAAGTAGCTCTCATCCTAAAAAAGGTTGGAGACCCCTGCATTAGAGCATAAACACTGTAACTACAGATGGAGCACTCCAGATCAGACTCAGATGGGTGTGTCCCAGTCAAAAGCCCAGCGGATGCCAGCGGCTGGGGGTGTTGCCAAATTGCTAGAGGGCGTTGCCCAATTTCCCCATTTGTTCAATTACAGGATTTAACCATGAGATGGCGCTTAATTCACAA